GAGGTGAGCTCTTGGGAGCAGGCTGAGCCGCGCGGAGCCGCGCGATGCTGACCTAGTTTAACAGCACTGGCGAGCAGATGAAAGATGGAAGGTTTTTGTGGCATCGTGTTGCACCTTGAGTGCTTCCTGGTCCTCCAGCTTGAGTTTCCTGGAGACAAAGGCTGGGCTGAATCAGAGCTGGCTCTGCTGCGGTGCAGGCAATGTCGTGGGCATCTCGGGTGGCTGTTGTAGCTCAGTGCTGCAGTTCCCATCCAGTTCAGTTGTCACCATTTACATCGCAGCAGTAACTGCAGAGTCTTCCTTAATTACACATGAGTTTGGGGAGAGCCATGGTCTCTTTGGTTGTGTTTTGCTGCTTTAATTAGAGCACAAGATAAAGCTTGTGGCTTTATCCTGCAGAGAGGACAGGGGTAGGTGGCTGGGAGGTTTCTGGGGCTGAGGAGATGTGTTTGTTTGCTTTCCATCATCAGACTCAGCCAGGAACCACACTGCCCTGTGCTTAACCTGCAAAGGCCTGATCATGTTTCTCAGCAGCAGCATGTGCTGGAGGGAACACTGGAGAGCCAGGAGAGAGTGCATCGCACCTGGCATCTCCAGGTTTTAACAGGAGAATCCTGGTGAGAAGCAACAGAGCCTGTGGCCTTCTCCTGCTGTTTGATGTGCAGAGGGATTGGGAAGGCTGGGATTAGGATAGGCCTGCCATGCAGTGATAAAGGGCTGGGGGCCCTGGAGCTTTCTTGAAGCTAGGTTGGATGCAGTGCCTCTGTCCTCTTCGTTTGGGGGGGTCTTTATCTTGGCAGTTAGTTGTATAGTGGCATTTTAGCGTGACACTCCCTTTGGGCTTACCTGGCAGGAGAAGGCCAGAAATGAGCAGCAGCATTTCCTGGAGGTTTCTCAGAGCCTCTTCAGAGGTATTCTGATGGGAGATGTTCCTGGCAGGGCTGGCTCCTGCAGGATCACTCAAGTGCTTTGGGACAGACTGGGGCAGAGGGGGATGTGCCAGCTTGCAGAGCTGCAAGTCACTGATTTCCTTAAGGAAGAGCACCAGTATGGGGCCACATCCAGTCAGCTGCTGCTTCTCACCTAGGCTGGAGGGTTGCCAGAGCATTGCCTGCCTGCTTGCGTACGTGCTGTGGCCATGGGCAAGCACAGGCACTGGGGCTGTGTGCTGCCAGGCTTGTCCAGATCACCACGTATGAGGGGACGTTACCACTTTGTAGATTCCTGAGTTGTCCATCTGTTTCATTGTTGTATTGTTTGGGTTCTAGGGTTGTTTTTTATGAAGACAGATTAAATGTAAATAGCCTTTTTTTGGAACAAACTGCAACGTGCTCGACCTCGTCAACTATTTTATGGTACTAATGCAACACTAATAAAACTGGACATGAAAGCACAACACCCGTCCCCTGAGTCGTCTCTCAGCAGGGGCTGCTCTGGCATGACTGGGGCAGTTGTCTCCAGCAGGAAACAGCAGCATGGCTTTTTGGCATGGGGGATGTCTTGTGTTATTTATCCAGCTGCCTGGCAGCACTTCCAGGGCAGAGCTGGTGGATTGGCACGTCCTCCCCAGCACCAAGCCCTCCTGTAGTTTTTGCAAGCCTCGCTGCCCTCTCTGCTGCCCCTGCTGCCTCCTTTCCCAGAGGGAGCCACCTCCTGCAGCTCTCCTGGATCTGACA